CCACCGTGATGGCCACCATCGTGGCTATCACCGTGGCCACAGCCATCACCACCGTGATGGCCACCGTCATGGCTACTACCATGGTCACCGCCATCGCCACCGTGATGGGCACCACAATGGGCTCTGCAATGGCTACTGCGATGGCCACCACTATGGCCACTACCATGGCCACCACAATGGCTACTGTGATGGCCACCACCATGGCCACCACCATCACCACCGTGATGGGCACCATCATGGCTACCACCATGGTCACCGCCATCGCCACCGTGATGGGCACCACAATGGGCTCTGCAATGGCTACTGCGATGGCCACCACTATGGCCACTACCATGGCCACCACAATGGCTACTGTGATGGCCACCACCATGGCCACCACCATCACCACCGTGATGGGCACCATCATGGCTACCACCATGGTCACCGCCATCGCCACCGTGATGGGCACCACAATGGGCTCTGCAATGGCTACTGCGATGGCCACCACTATGGCCACTACCATGGCCACCACAATGGCTACTGTGATGGCCACCACCATGGCCACCACCATCACCACCGTGATGGGCACCATCATGGCTACCACCATGGTCACCGCCATCGCCACCGTGATGGGCACCACAATGGGCTCTGCAATGGCTACTGCGATGGCCACCACTATGGCCACTACCATGGCCACCACAATGGCTACTGTGATGGCCACCACCATGGCCACCACCATCACCACCGTGATGGGCACCATCATGGCTACCACCATGGTCACCGCCATCGCCACCGTGATGGGCACCACAATGGGCTCTGCAATGGCTACTGCGATGGCCACCACTATGGCCACTACCATGGCCACCACAATGGCTACTGTGATGGCCACCACCATGGCCACCACCATCACCACCGTGATGGGCACCATCATGGCTACCACCATGGTCACCGCCATCGCCACCGTGATGGGCACCACAATGGGCTCTGCAATGGCTACTGCGATGGCCACCACTATGGCCACTACCATGGCCACCACAATGGCTACTGTGATGGCCACCACCATGGCCACCACCATCACCACCGTGATGGGCACCATCATGGCTACCACCATGGTCACCGCCATCGCCACCGTGATGGGCACCACAATGGGCTCTGCAATGGCTACTGCGATGGCCACCACTATGGCCACTACCATGGCCACCACAATGGCTACTGTGATGGCCACCACCATGGCCACCACCATCACCACCGTGATGGGCACCATCATGGCTACCACCATGGTCACCGCCATCGCCACCGTGATGGGCACCACAATGGGCTCTGCAATGGCTACTGCGATGGCCACCACTATGGCCACTACCATGGCCACCACAATGGCTACTGTGATGGCCACCACCATGGCCACCACCATCACCACCGTGATGGGCACCATCATGGCTACCACCATGGTCACCGCCATCGCCACCGTGATGGGCACCACAATGGGCTCTGCAATGGCTACTGCGATGGCCACCACTATGGCCACTACCATGGCCACCACAATGGCTACTGTGATGGCCACCACCATGGCCACCACCATCACCACCGTGATGGGCACCATCATGGCTACCACCATGGTCACCGCCATCGCCACCGTGATGGGCACCACAATGGGCTCTGCAATGGCTACTGCGATGGCCACCACTATGGCCACTACCATGGCCACCACAATGGCTACTGTGATGGCCACCACCATGGCCACCACCATCACCACCGTGATGGGCACCATCATGGCTACCACCATGGTCACCGCCATCGCCACCGTGATGGGCACCACAATGGGCTCTGCAATGGCTACTGCGATGGCCACCACTATGGCCACTACCATGGCCACCACAATGGCTACTGTGATGGCCACCACCATGGCCACCACCATCACCACCGTGATGGGCACCATCATGGCTACCACCATGGTCACCGCCATCGCCACCGTGATGGGCACCACAATGGGCTCTGCAATGGCTACTGCGATGGCCACCACTATGGCCACTACCATGGCCACCACAATGGCTACTGTGATGGCCACCACCATGGCCACCACCATCACCACCGTGATGGGCACCATCATGGCTACCACCATGGTCACCGCCATCGCCACCGTGATGGGCACCACAATGGGCTCTGCAATGGCTACTGCGATGGCCACCACTATGGCCACTACCATGGCCACCACAATGGCTACTGTGATGGCCACCACCATGGCCACCACCATCACCACCGTGATGGGCACCATCATGGCTACCACCATGGTCACCGCCATCGCCACCGTGATGGGCACCACAATGGGCTCTGCAATGGCTACTGCGATGGCCACCACTATGGCCACTACCATGGCCACCACAATGGCTACTGTGATGGCCACCACCATGGCCACCACCATCACCACCGTGATGGGCACCATCATGGCTACCACCATGGTCACCGCCATCGCCACCGTGATGGGCACCACAATGGGCTCTGCAATGGCTACTGCGATGGCCACCACTATGGCCACTACCATGGCCACCACAATGGCTACTGTGATGGCCACCACCATGGCCACCACCATCACCACCGTGATGGGCACCATCATGGCTACCACCATGGTCACCGCCATCGCCACCGTGATGGGCACCACAATGGGCTCTGCAATGGCTACTGCGATGGCCACCACTATGGCCACTACCATGGCCACCACAATGGCTACTGTGATGGCCACCACCATGGCCACCACCATCACCACCGTGATGGGCACCATCATGGCTACCACCATGGTCACCGCCATCGCCACCGTGATGGGCACCACAATGGGCTCTGCAATGGCTACTGCGATGGCCACCACTATGGCCACTACCATGGCCACCACAATGGCTACTGTGATGGCCACCACCATGGCCACCACCATCACCACCGTGATGGGCACCATCATGGCTACCACCATGGTCACCGCCATCGCCACCGTGATGGGCACCACAATGGGCTCTGCAATGGCTACTGCGATGGCCACCACTATGGCCACTACCATGGCCACCACAATGGCTACTGTGATGGCCACCACCATGGCCACCACCATCACCACCGTGATGGGCACCATCATGGCTACCACCATGGTCACCGCCATCGCCACCGTGATGGGCACCACAATGGGCTCTGCAATGGCTACTGCGATGGCCACCACTATGGCCACTACCATGGCCACCACAATGGCTACTGTGATGGCCACCACCATGGCCACCACCATCACCACCGTGATGGGCACCATCATGGCTACCACCATGGTCACCGCCATCGCCACCGTGATGGGCACCACAATGGGCTCTGCAATGGCTACTGCGATGGCCACCACTATGGCCACTACCATGGCCACCACAATGGCTACTGTGATGGCCACCACCATGGCCACCACCATCACCACCGTGATGGGCACCATCATGGCTACCACCATGGTCACCGCCATCGCCACCGTGATGGGCACCACAATGGGCTCTGCAATGGCTACTGCGATGGCCACCACTATGGCCACTACCATGGCCACCACAATGGCTACTGTGATGGCCACCACCATGGCCACCACCATCACCACCGTGATGGGCACCATCATGGCTACCACCATGGTCACCGCCATCGCCACCGTGATGGGCACCACAATGGGCTCTGCAATGGCTACTGCGATGGCCACCACTATGGCCACTACCATGGCCACCACAATGGCTACTGTGATGGCCACCACCATGGCCACCACCATCACCACCGTGATGGGCACCATCATGGCTACCACCATGGTCACCGCCATCGCCACCGTGATGGGCACCACAATGGGCTCTGCAATGGCTACTGCGATGGCCACCACTATGGCCACTACCATGGCCACCACAATGGCTACTGTGATGGCCACCACCATGGCCACCACCATCACCACCGTGATGGGCACCATCATGGCTACCACCATGGTCACCGCCATCGCCACCGTGATGGGCACCACAATGGGCTCTGCAATGGCTACTGCGATGGCCACCACTATGGCCACTACCATGGCCACCACAATGGCTACTGTGATGGCCACCACCATGGCCACCACCATCACCACCGTGATGGGCACCATCATGGCTACCACCATGGTCACCGCCATCGCCACCGTGATGGGCACCACAATGGGCTCTGCAATGGCTACTGCGATGGCCACCACTATGGCCACTACCATGGCCACCACAATGGCTACTGTGATGGCCACCACCATGGCCACCACCATCACCACCGTGATGGGCACCATCATGGCTACCACCATGGTCACCGCCATCGCCACCGTGATGGGCACCACAATGGGCTCTGCAATGGCTACTGCGATGGCCACCACTATGGCCACTACCATGGCCACCACAATGGCTACTGTGATGGCCACCACCATGGCCACCACCATCACCACCGTGATGGGCACCATCATGGCTACCACCATGGTCACCGCCATCGCCACCGTGATGGGCACCACAATGGGCTCTGCAATGGCTACTGCGATGGCCACCACTATGGCCACTACCATGGCCACCACAATGGCTACTGTGATGGCCACCACCATGGCCACCACCATCACCACCGTGATGGGCACCATCATGGCTACCACCATGGTCACCGCCATCGCCACCGTGATGGGCACCACAATGGGCTCTGCAATGGCTACTGCGATGGCCACCACTATGGCCACTACCATGGCCACCACAATGGCTACTGTGATGGCCACCACCATGGCCACCACCATCACCACCGTGATGGGCACCATCATGGCTACCACCATGGTCACCGCCATCGCCACCGTGATGGGCACCACAATGGGCTCTGCAATGGCTACTGCGATGGCCACCACTATGGCCACTACCATGGCCACCACAATGGCTACTGTGATGGCCACCACCATGGCCACCACCATCACCACCGTGATGGGCACCATCATGGCTACCACCATGGTCACCGCCATCGCCACCGTGATGGGCACCACAATGGGCTCTGCAATGGCTACTGCGATGGCCACCACTATGGCCACTACCATGGCCACCACAATGGCTACTGTGATGGCCACCACCATGGCCACCACCATCACCACCGTGATGGGCACCATCATGGCTACCACCATGGTCACCGCCATCGCCACCGTGATGGGCACCACAATGGGCTCTGCAATGGCTACTGCGATGGCCACCACTATGGCCACTACCATGGCCACCACAATGGCTACTGTGATGGCCACCACCATGGCCACCACCATCACCACCGTGATGGGCACCATCATGGCTACCACCATGGTCACCGCCATCGCCACCGTGATGGGCACCATCATGGCTACCACCGTGGCCACCACAATGGCTACTGTGATGGCCACCATCATGGCTCCCACCGTGGCCACCGCCATCGCCACCATGATGGCCACCATCGTGGCTAGCACCATGGCCACGGCCATAGCCACCGTGGTGGCCACCATTGTGGCTATCACCGTGGCCACAGCCATCACCACCGTGATGGCCACCGTCATGGCTACTACCATGGTCACCGCCATCGCCACCGTGATGGGCACCACAATGGGCTCTGCAATGGCTACTGCGACGGCCACCACTATGGCCACTACCATGGCCACCACAATGGCTACTGTGATGGCCACTATGATGGCCGCCACAATGGCCACCGCTATGGCACCATAATGGGCACCACAACGGCCCCTGCAATGGCTACTGCCATGGCACTGTGGTGGCCACCACGATGGCCACCGCCACGGCACTGTGGTGGCCACCACGATGGCCACTGTCATGGCGCTGTGGTGGCCACCAGGATGGCTCCACAAAGATGGTCTCGTCCACCTGGTTCTCGCTGGCGTCGATCCTGGGGGACAGAGGGAGGTGGGATGGGGTGGGATGGCCCATGGTGGGGTCCCTGTGTCCCCCCCCCCACCACCACACATGGTCCTTCTCCTCCTTCTTCTCCTCCTCCTATGGCTCAGTGGCCACCACCCTGGCACCACAATGGCCACTGTCATGGTGCTGTGGTGGCCACCACGATGGCTCAGTGGCCACCAGGACGGCTCAGTGGCCACCACCCCACCACCACGATGGCCACTGCCACGACGGTATGGTGGCCACCCCCATGCCCACCATGGCCACCACCAGGCCCTCCCGCAGGCCTCTTCCCCGCCCCCCCCCGTGCACACTCGTGTGAGGCCGTTGTGCCCCCCCCTTGCACACT